AAAATAGGAAAAGCCAAACACCTACGTCGAGATTGAATTTCGGTAAAAGTGATTTGAAGAAAATAAAAACCAACACACCAGGTCGTTGTTTACAGAATAACAAATAAAAATAAAGACATAATCAATCAATAAGAAAGAAAGAACAAAATAAGGAAGATACTGTAAAAGGGAGAGAACAAATTCAATTTTGAATTTTTTCATCGAGCTGAGACTTCTGGATTACGCGTCAAATTTGTTACGTGCCAAAAAAAGGGGGAAGCTTTACATCACAAGGTAAACACCAAAATTTGATTTAATTGTTTTTACTAGCCTTATGTAATACGTACACGTAATTGATTAATTTTTCAAACCAAAAAATATAAAATAGGAACAGTCATTTAAAATATGAAGAAGAAAAAAAAAGAAAGAAATAAAATGAATTAAATGAATTGAAAATTATGTGTAATATAAGTTTACATGTGTGTATTACACTGAAACATATTGAAATTTAAAATGATTCATAAGTGGTGGTGGGTAGATTAAATTCATGTGCAATTCTTATTAATAATTATTTAATATATAATTGTCAATATATTATTTATATATTTATAATTATATATTAAATAATTATTATTGTATTTACAATTACGTATTATATATATAAATAAAATTTTACAAATAATAATACTATAAATTAATATATAATAGTAAAAAAAACATACATACAATTTTACTATTTTATTATTATTATATTATTATTATTATTATTATTATTATTATTATTATTATTAACATTGTTAATGGTTGTTGCATTCATTAAAAATCATACCAAAAAAAAAAAGATATATAAAATTTCAATTGATATTACATACATTCAAAAATGATAATTTTAGGTAATTTGATAATCTTATTATTATTATTAACATTATCAATGGTTGTTTGATTTGTTAAAAATCATAAAAACAAATATTTCAAATATCAATTGATCTAAGTTGAAAAGATAATAATTTAAGGTAATTCGATAGTCGAGATAAAAATGTTGGAAACTTGCTGAAAATAGTAAAGGGACCATTCTCTTTAAGCAATTTATGGGAAGGGGAAAAGATATGGGGGAATTTAGGAAAATAAAATAGACAAGAAATTTCGTGTATAAAACTGTCGAGAATATTAGGAAATGTATACTATATATATATGTATCTAGTTTCTTAAGATATATACAAGATAATCGTTTATCTAGTTTGAATATGATTTTAAGATTAGATTGTTTCTATATTCAACTGGATTTCAAATCATAGAAAAATCGAATTTTTATTAGACAGAATGAAAATAAAATAGTTAATATGTTCTTCTTATTTTCGTGTGTCTCTATGTGTGTCTCTGTAAGTATATGTGTGTGTGTGTGTGTGTGTGTATAGAAACACAAATAGATACATGTGTGTATATTTTCATTTTTTTGTTGTTTGGTTGCCTATGCTGTTTCTGTTTCCTTTTTGGGGTGAAAGCCAATCTCCCACAATAGGCAGAAACAAAATTTGGTTTCGAGTGGGTGTCGACGTAGTTCAACGATGATCACAGACAGACCCCATGAGATCCCATAAGAATGACCATTCAAACCCATCTCAAAATTCTTATTTACATTTTTCAAGTGTTTTTTATTTTTTTATTTTTTTTTTTTTTGTTCTTTTCTGCTAGCTGTCAGAGTATGTGTGTGTGTGTGTGGTTTTACTTTGATATTAAATTATTATTTTTATTTATTATTTATCAACTGTAACCAATATACTTTAAGATTGTAAGTTAACTTTGTTTTTATCATTTGATTTTTATTTAACATACTTTTCCTTTTTTAATTGAAATTTTTATAACAAATCATTGATGTAGTAAACATCAAGTGTCACGTGTTCCTTTATTTATGAAATAATCATCAATATTAAATATACTTACTTAAACAACTTGTGATACATCTTACACATATTTTTACATACCATTCATACATACATACATGCATTCATCAACACATGTACATCATTTGTGCAACATTTGTGCATCATTTAAAAAAATATAAAAAAAAAAAAGAAAAATGTGACATAGTCAAAGGTCGTCACATTATAATGATTGGTCAATAATAATATCATTGTGAGATCATTTCTAAAGATGTACAACTAGCAAAGGTTTTTTTTTTTTTTAGTGTTACTTATTTACTCTCACACGTATCTTTTAGGATATAAATCATTGATCTCTTTGTCAAGAAAGATAGTAAGATCTTTAAATGTATTTTAACGATCGTCAGGAAGGAAAGGTTTACCTCTAGGACAGGTCAACGACTTCTCGTCTTCTTCTTCTTCTTCTCTTTCTCTTTCTCTTTCTTTTTCTCTCGTTTATTCATCGTAAGTTGGTAGTGTGACGATCATCTTTAGACTCGTCTCTTTTATGTGTGTTAGTAATAGATTCTTCAAATCTTTTTTTTTAACTTTAACTTTAACTTTAACTTTAAACTTGTTGTTGTTGTTGTTTTTTTTTTTTTTTATTGAAAACATGTACACAACACATCGTTTTAATATTATTTTTTATCTTTAAGTTTAAACTTTCTGGGGGTTTGTTTTTTTTTTTTTTTATTATTGAAAACATGTACACGATACATCATTTTAATTTTATTTAATTTTATTTAAGACTAGTAAATAATAATTAAAAAAAAAAAAATGAGTTAAAGCAAAGTAGGTAGACTTAACATAAAGTGTGTGAGCATGATTCAGAAGATGTTTCGTAGGATACCCCCTTGTAGTCATCGTCTGACTAATCCACAAATAAAACGAAAGGAGAAGTATAATCGCAATGGATTAAAATAAGAAAGAGAGAGAAAGAGAGAGAAAGAGAGACAGAACTAGTCGGCTTCAATTAAGATCTCTGTCGGAGGACCTGAACGTACAAAAAAATAAAAAAAAAATATATAAAAAGAAGCAGAACACAAACCGATGTCGAATTGAACGTAGAGAGAGAAAGAGAGGGAGAGATCGATCGATCGAAATCGCGTAATCGGATCTTTACAAATAAAAAAAAAAAATATCTAATCACGTAACGAATGAATTCGAATTGACATAAGCTTTGATAGCAAAATTGATTATTTTTTTTATTTCTTTTTTTGTTGTTGATCTGTTTGATGGAGATTATATTTTATTCAACTTGGAATTTAGTTTATGATAATATTTGATCGAATGGAAATTATTGGCAGAGATTAAATAAATATATATATGTGTGTGTGTGTGTTCCATGTGTGTTTTATATAATTCGTTTTTCTTTTTTCTTTTTTATTATAATACATTTAAATTGACGATAATCTATCCAAACGGAAGTTGAAACTCTCCTTTGCATAGAAGAGAAACGTTAACGAGGAAGTACCGTTGAAAAAGAAAAAATAAAAATGTGGAGGAGGAGGTGGAGGTGGAGGTGGGATGGATGGATCGAAGGTAACGCGTAGAAATGCCCCGTTACAACGTCCCTGCGTAGAATGGCCAAGAGGAACTCTTTATTTCTTTGTATAGCTTTTTTTTTTTTTTTGTTCTCAGTTCGATAAATCTTGAAACCTTTAAGTTTAGGTTGTTCGTTGACATTACCCTAATTTTTAAAATAAAAACATTTTTTATTTATTTTTATTTTTAATAATCTACAGTCTTCTCTTCATCTCATTGTCCATCAGCTATCTCATCAACTATCTGGTTTGTTTTTTATTTTTTAAAGTGCATTTTATTTTATTTGGTGAATTTGATTAATGTGTTTTGATATGTGTATATTATTTTTATCGTTGTTATTATTATATTAATTATTTTATTATTTTATTTTATATTAATTATTGTTGTATTTTATTATATTGTTTATTTTATTATTTTATTATATATTAATTATTTTAATATTTTAGTGTTTGTGAGTATTTTTTTTCTATATATTTATTATTTTAGTATTTTATTATATATTAATTATTTTATTATTTTAATATCTTATTATATTAATTATTTTAGTATTTTATTATATTTATTATATTAATTATTTTATTATATTTATATTATTACATTTTAATTCGTGTTATTATTTCAAACGTCATTTGATATTCTAGATTTTATTTTATTATCTGTTATAAAATTTTATTAAGGCTATTGATTATGATCGATACAGAAGGGGAAGGGTAAGATACCATAAGAAAAAAAAAAATAAATAAAATATAAATATCACTATGGGAAAATGATAGAAAGAATTCATTCTTAAATAAACGTGATTGGAATTTGTAATAAGGGCGAATTTCTAAATAGAATACTAAATTAGTTATAGAATAAAAAACATTTTATAAATGATACGAAAGAAGTATTTTTGATTTAATTATAAAGAACGTGTTGTAATGGTGAATCGATTTATCGATATATCGATATAAACGTGAAAGGAATAACTTTGTGATGATTTTGCACGAATGATTCGTCAGTCAAAAGATTTTCTGTGTTAAACGTGTAACCACAAATACACACATACACACATTGCATTTATAAAACATACACACATAAAACATACTTGTACACAAGGTCACAGATTTCAATCATACGATAGGTATCCACACACACACACCCACACACACTCACACATTATAGTACAGTCATAGGACATACGTGTTATAATACTCGTACACAAGGTCACTTTGTTTAATTTTATTTAGGATATTAAATTAAATGTACGATATTTGCACTGTTCTAAAAATTATTTAAAAGTATGTGTTTTGTTATATTTGTATATGAACATATATATATATATGTTTATAAACACGTATGTATTTAATTTAACAACGTAGTTTAGTTATATACGTGCCACTTTCGAAAAGTACGATATAAGTTTCGTTTATACGTATATATATATTGTATGTACTTTGCTTTATCCTTTCTTTCTCTTTTTCTTTTTCTTTTTCTTTTTCTTTTTCTTTTTCTTTTTCTTTCTCTTTCTCTTTTCTTACCTGCGTCAGCAAATCCACGTTGCAACGATTTAATATAATATAATATCGGTGTCGTGTATCGTGAAAGTAAATTCTTCTGACACAAAAAAGAAAAAGTTTAAAGAACATAAAATAATTCAATGAAAAAATAAATAATTATTGAAATATTGAAATAATTAATTAAGATTGTGAGTTATAGTTGAGAATAAAGAAAAAAGAACTGATAGTTTTGCATACCTGAGGAAAAATCGAAGATGACACTTATCTGGTATCAAAAGAGCTTTGAATTTTTCTCCCCTTCCGTGTCACGCGATTCAACAGATTTATTTTC